AAAAGAAAAAGAATCCCAGGATTTTCCCTCCTGTGTGTTTTCGTCTTGCTTCTTCGTGGTCCATGATGCCAGCTGAGGTTGTCAGTACAGTGAAAACAAACTGGCAGGATGGGAGCAGGTTATTCTGCCATTTTTCTAGATCTTTCAGTTGTACATCAAATCTGGGGCTGATGACTCCACACTTGTTTAACCTGCTTGTGAGGTTCACAACAATTTTCCCTGCTCTGTGATCATCAATGATTTCAAATTCACCAATGTAACCGTGCTTCATCATCACAGTGAGAAACCAGACGATGACTTTGGAGCATGGCCTAATAAGAACCTGGTGTTTGCCTCTCTTTTCAGCATCGTTAATGCTCTTGAGAGCATCTGCCAGGACACTCATGCACACCATTATGGCTGCACGGAGAGATGGTGGGAAGTGTCTTCCATTCTTTTTTCTGTCTTCTGTGGTTATGTTGAGCATTTTCCATAATTCCATTTTCTCTTCATTCTTAACACATCAGTTGTGCTTTTACTTTTATTTTTATTATTTTTACTTTTTTTTAGTGGTTGCCCTAGAGTTTGCCATGTACTCTTACAACTAACCCAAGTTCACCTTTAAATAACCCTGAATTGCTTATTGCTTCCTGGGCAGTGTGAGTGCCTTATGCAACAAAATAATCCTAATCCTCCCTCTTATCCCTTGAATCATCGCTGTCGTGCATTTCAGTTATACGTAAGCACATACAGGCACGTATGTATGGACACAAGGTATAGACATGAGCACACATAGTCGAAAACATTGTTGCTTTTATCTGTTAGGTCAATTAGGGAAAATTTTTATTTTACCCTCACTTATTCCCTCTTTGATGCTCTTCCTTTCTTTAATAGATCTGAGTTTCTGACCTACATCATTTTCCTTCTCTCTAAAGAACTTCTTTTAACATTTCTTGCAAGGCTGATCTGCTGGCAACAAATTCCCTCAGTTTTTGTTTGTCTGAGAAAGTCTTTATTTGTTCTTTACTTTTGAAGGATAATTTCTCAAGGTACAGAATTTTAGTTTGGTGGGGTTTTTTTCTTTCAACACTTTAAATATTTCATTTCACTCTCTTCTTGCTTGCATGATTTCTGAGGGCAAGATGGATGTGGTTTTTATCTTTGTTCCTCTGTAGGTAATGTGGTTTTTCCTCTAATTTCTTTCAGGCTTTTTTTTTTTTTTTTAATTTGTGATTTTCTGTCATGTGAAAATGATATATGAAATGTAGTTTTTTGGGCGTTTATCCTGCTTGGTGTTCTCTCAGCTTCCCCACTTAAATGAAGTGAGAATGCTTTGAACTTGGTGCCATTATTGCTCCCATAGTAAACTTGATCAGCAAGGCCAGGACAATGAGAGATTAAATCACAAAGCCAGCATGACGCTGGGCAAGCGTTTGCACTCAAGCAGTATTATTTATATTCTAAAGGCCCTATAGTTTATGCAGATTATTTCAAGCCACCTCACATTATTTTGAAAAAGTCATAGCATGCCTTATTATCAAATGAAAATAAAATGCTGACTTAGCCCCAGTTAACTCTTGAATAATAAATGTATTTCTAGAACATTTCTTCTCTCTCTGCTACTTCTAGTTACTCCATCTTTGCTTACTTTGTAGACACTATTTGAAAGTCACTCTGACTTTTAATGTTCTCATATATTCTTTTATAGTGGTGCCTTCTTTATATTTTTTTCTCAGGTCCTTTTTATTCTAAATGTTTGAGAGTAAAAAATCACTAGGGTACTTTAATTACAATTATTTGAATGAGCTGGTTTGATTTGCCTTTTTAATCTGTGTTCTCTCTGTATCCTGGCCCAGCTTCTGGAAGGTGCAAGGAACGGAGTGACTCACCACAGCATCTGCTATGTCATCAGGAAAGAGGGTCCCTGAGGGACAGAAGCTAGACTGAGATTTGAAGTTTCTGGATTCTGACCTCTGCCGGCTCACTGGCTATCTCTACATGGGGCTACATTTTGACTGTGGTTTATAGGTAATCACCTAATTTCATGTTATTTGTAGCTTTTCCTTTCAAAAAACGGCAATAATTATCCTTTATCCCTCCACCTCCCCAGCAGGAAATGGCAAAGATTCATTATTATTAAAAACAAAGTGAAATTGTCAATCTGTCCAGAGGTGTTTGCCATATATATACAGAAAACAGTTCTCATGATTTCCTTGGCCTTTGTGGCTGTGCCTGTAGGATAAGTAAGTACTTTCTCAATGAAGGGGGCGTTTTGAAATTCCTTCCAAAGAAGTCTGGCATTCATTCTAAATTGACCTGGAGGCTGAGGAGCCCTGGAGTTGTTCCAGCTGCTTCAAACTCTGCCAGGTAAATATTTCCATGAACTAACAAGCTGTGGTAGACTGGTTATTCATGGACTTGGCTGTTACTGATGCATTGTTCTTGAGTTACTTTTGTGTTATATTTTTAGAATCCCTATAATTTTATAGGTCCTGATGCTTAATCTGAGTCAATATGTGTCCTTTTAGATGTAGAATACTAGAGCAGAGTGGAACAATCTACCTTTTAAGAAAGGACTTTACTGTAAATTTAATAAGATGTTTAGAGGAAGGTGTTTTGAGAGTGGCTAGGGACAATATCATGTGGGTCCCACGCTCTTTCTTTCCTTCTGCTCCAACCTCTAGTATGTTAAGTTTTTATCCTTAGGTTTGATGCTTCCTGGTCACCAAATGGTTGCCATACTGACAGCAAGTCTTCACAAGGCATTGTATGAGTGCAGAAGTAGGGGGTCTAACAAGATGGCAAGAGAAAGCTCTTCTCATATACCTGTCTCTTTTTATGCAGGAACAAAAATCTGTCCCCAGAGTACCTCTATCTCACATCTATTTGGGCAGAAGAGGGTCTCATACCCTCTCTGAGCAGCAAGGGTGCCTGCAAGAAGGAGTATTTTGCTTTTTCAATATCTACATTGGGAGGTGGGCAAGGAGAAGGGATGAGGAGTGACCAACCAAAGTGTTTGTCACCACTAACAAGTTCTTTTTCTTTCTCTCCCTTCTATTCTGCTCACAGAAGGCATTGCCTGCCAACAGCATAACACAATCTTGGGAATGAACTCTGACAAACTTACCATCATGACAGCTGATGCATCCCATCGAGGATGGAAGAATGGAGCTCCAAACTTTGTTACACTATTCTTGAAAGGTAATCAGCTTCTGTGCATGAGTGGATGGAACGGGTCTATTTACATTGCTTTCAAGTTTACCCAGTAAAGCACCATGACTTCTGCAAGCTGAGGAATCAAGGGGAAAGCTGCGTGAGTGTTGGTCTGTTTCTTACAACTGCCTTGTGAAGGCAGCATGCAGTCATTAATACTGCTGATTTTATAAATACTGGATGAACAGTTAAAGGGGAAGCAGTTCTAATTCTAGGAACTGGGTGTGAACAATTTTATTTCTAGGCTCTGAATGACCAAAGGTGCCTGGACTGTAAGTTTTCTGTTCACAACATGGTTGGCCTAGGTCCATTAATAGTTGGAATCCTCTGAAATAGATGGATCTCTCCTTTTAAATTATTTTTTTAATTTCCTAGAATTTATATTAAAATTTGTCTTTTTTGGGCTCTAAATAGTTGGAGAATGGCATGGGATGACCTTGTAGTAACGCAATGTGTAATACAACCAACTCTATGTACTATTTCTAGAAGAGTTTCCCATTGGCAGGAATATAGAAAACATCTACTGGCATCATTTTCATGGACATGTATCTTTGTTTTTATTGTATTCAGTAAGATGTGCAATTCAGCAGTTTACCTTGGAAGAGAAGTGAGATGAAGTTTGACTGTCTTTACAGTCAGACTTTATCACCAAGATGACAGGACCCCAAACCTTGAGTGTGGTCAGGTTGTTGTAATGATGTGTGAAGGTTACCAGCACATTGTTCTGAGCATGATCTCCTTGATCTGAAAACACAGGGAACAACTTGATATCGATAAAACCCAAAGAACTTTGGAAAACTTTGGTGTTTCTTGATTGATACTGTCTACTTGGGATGGATTTCGCTGAGAAGCCCTGATACTGTTGAAAGAAATAAAGGGTTTACTTTTTCTTGCAAAGAGTTTGGGGGCAGCCATTTCGGGGTACAGGGTGCTGCTCCAGGGTCAGGCTCATGTTGCCTTTCTGCTCTGCTGTCCTTCAAGCAGAACTGCTGAGCACCTTAGAATGAGGTCAGCATTCCAGAAACACAAAGAAAGACAAGGAAGGAGGGATAAATGACTCTATTGGGACTTGGGACATTCCCAGAAATCTTAGGAAATGTGCATCTTGTTGCCGTGAACCGTGTCCCACAGCCACTGTTAGCTGCAAGGGAGTCTGGTGAGTAGAGTTTCTTAGCCAAACACACTGATGTTGCTGGAAAAGTGGACATTCTCTTAAGGAGGATGAAATAAGGAAGTGATCATTTTCTAAGCAACTAGCAACCTGTGCCACACCCGTCATCATTGGCAAACCATGGCGTCTGTGATTCTACCTGTCAGACGTTGCTTTCAATGTCTCTTGCCATCGTGAGTGCAGGTGAACGTGATCAGCTATCAAAAAAGAATTCACCATTTTCTTTTCTTTTGCAAGTAAGCAGTAGTAGCCTTCTCATTCGTGTTTGCTCTGTTTTCTAATTTATGTGCACAATTTTACATATATTTCTGTTTCTTGATGAGGAAGTGAAGGTTCATTGGGGTGATGAAATGAGTTCTGCAAAGGCCAAATTCATTCGATTGTTAGAGGGGTCTAGGACTCATCTCAGGACTGCTGTGCTCCCTGCACAGTCCCAGCACTCTAGCTTCCCCTTTGGAACCAGCCCCTCCAATGCTGACTAGACCTGGAGGTGTTTTGAGCCTCGGGCTGAGGAGTAGCTTCTGAGTCATCAGTGGCGCATTTTCTGCTGTGCCCAACCCAACCGTCTATCTGGGTCTGTAGGAACACTCTTTTTTTTTAAGATTTTATTTATTTATATGACAGAGAGAGGGAACACAAGCAGGGGATAGTGGGAGAGGGAGAAGGCAGGCTTCCTGTGGAGCAGAGAGCCCGATGTGGGGCTTGATCCCAGGACCCTGGGACCATGACCCGAGCCGAAGGCAAACGCTTAACGACTGAGCCACCCACGCGCCCCTGTAGGAACACTTTTATGGTGTCAGAGACAGCAGCGCAGCAATGTACTTAACAGAGCCAGAGAAATGCTGTAGCCCAGGCTGACCACATTACAAATCCCAGGCGCCCAAAGTGTAACATGCATTCCATGCTGATGGACCCAGTACCGAGTCAGACTTTTCCAACCATAATCCAAATTGGACCATTTTTTCCCTCCTTTTTCCCTCCTTATTCTTTCCTTCCACCCTCTCCCGACCCTATTTAAGTTTTGTCTTAGAAATCTTATTTGAATTTTCAAGTTAGCAAGACTTAAAGGAGTCACCTTTCCTAACTTCCCATCTGGGGGATCCCTAGAGGACCTTATCTGGGTTCTGCACGTAGACATCCAGAGATGAGGCACTCACGATCCCACACATCAGCCAGTTCTGAATAACGTGTCAGAAAGCTGTTGGCTTGTATTAGGCTGACCTTTCCTATTAGATTTTATAATCTCATACCAGTAGTGAAACTCCAACATCCCCTTTGACAAATGACAGAAAGGGCTATTGCATTACATGGCTAGGGCTTCCCTTTTGTAGAAGCTTTGTTGATTCAGAATTGACTGATAGTTCATGAGTCTCTTTGAGGAAATTGGAGGGAAAGTATATATGAAGAGCAGCAACAATTCTGGGTAATAGCTGAGAAATGTGATGGCTGTGAAGGAGAAAGAAACAGAACAGTGTTATTTGTCATTCTGACTGTCACCTTTGCAAGTAAAATGTTGAGGGGTGCCTGGGTGGCTCAGTCAGTTAAGTGTCCGGCTCTTGGTTTTGGCTCAGGTCATGATCTTGGGGTCCTGAGATCGAGCCATGCATCAGCTTCAGTGTGGAGTCTGCTTGTCCCTCTCCCTCTGTTTCTCTCTCTCTCTCTAATAAATAAAATCTTAAAAAAAAAAAAAAGCAAAATGTTAAGGTTATGTCCTTGCAAGAGTCCTGGATCTTCTCCATTTTCCACAAGACTATAAAACAGGTTTATCTTCTTCCTCCTTGTGTCCCTCCCTCCATGTCTCTCTTTCTCTCTCTCTCCCTCTTCTCCTCCCTTTCTTTCCTTCTTTCTAAGGCTTATAACTATGAGTGTTTTATGGAGAGGTTAATCCATCTGATTTGGCATGACAAGAGAAGGCATCATGTATGAGGTGAGGCTTGAATTACTCTTGCAGGATGAGTATTTCAGTGTTTGGTCAGATGGGAGGGGAAAGATTGAATAAAGGCAGATGGACAATTGCAATAATTTTCTATTGAGTCTGCTGGAGTGACTCAGTCATGATTATTCAGGCTACTATTTCATAAATATGCAGCCCACAGACAACCATTACTGTTCACACTTCCTTGTCCTTTACTATGGGGAGGGCAAAGCATTTACTAACACACTGATGCAGAGTTAAAGTTGAATACTCAGTGATTCTCAGCATTTTCCCCCAGAGACAGACATTACAGATGACCTTCCCAAGCAAGATGCTCTGAAGGAGGTACCTTGCCCATTCTGGTCAAGCTACTGGTATCCTCTTCTCTCTTAAAAACAATACAGAGAAGAGGGGAATTATGAGGGAAAACAAATATAGGTATGATATTTGTTATTTAAGAATTGTCACAAGGGATTTTAACTAACCACGTAGATGATGGTAGTTGAGGATTATCAGAAAGTTGAAGGCCATGATAGAGTTCATCCAAGTCTGTTTATCCAGAGTTGACTACGGTAAGG